TTCATTTTGTTCTTTAAAAACAAGAGCAACAGTGAAACCTATCATTATTGAGCCAGTAATTAAGATTATTAGACCAAACACCCAAGAATGGCTGAGATTAGTACCAGGAATTTTACTCCATGGCTTGGAGGCCAACCACACATACTAGGGGAAAAGGGAGCTCAGATAAAGAGGAGAACACCAAATAAAGGTATTGGGAGGATCCTCCCAGGATGGAAGAAGCATGCGGAAAGTAAACTATAGACTAAACATGATTGTCACCCATTGCCTCTTTTGCAAACCACAACACCCAATAAGAGAGAGAGAACAAAAGGGAATGCCCTGCCACAGAGGCAGTGTGGGATAGGGGGATGATGGGGGGGTGGGAGGGATACTGGGATCCGTGGTGGTGGGAAATGGGCACCGGTGGAGGGATGGGTATTTGATCATTGTATAATTGAAACCCAAGCACAAAAATGTGTAAGTCTGCAGCTGTACCTCATGATGTCTCACTATTAAAAAAAAAAAAAAGCAATTGATTCAAAAGTAAAAAAAAAAAAAGATTATTAGTCCAAGTTTCCTCTGAAAATAATTTTACTGAGTTTAGATTTGGCAAGAATGATACTTTATAATCATTTACTCAACTTCATATGTCATTCCCCTCTAAATCATCCTTATTTAACATAATTCATTAAACATTAAATGGGATTACCTTCCTCTGCATCCTAAAATATTGAAGTTCTTACCAAATTCAATGAGAATTTTCAGATCCCAGTAAAATCCTTAGCATGGTGCTGAGATTCAGGTAAGTCATTTCTCACTTTAAATAAACTTTTAACACAGTGATGGATAAGATTCATCAAAGAGTAAATCTACGTCATTCTATGTGCCAGGTTCTATAAGAAGACAAAGGACAGTAGGATCACCTCTAAAAAAAAAGAGATTTCGGGGGGCAAAGAATAAGAAGGTTCAAAGCAAAGTTTCATTTGATTAAAAATTGGTGTTTGATCTGAATGCAGGCTGTCAGAGCATCCAAGTGGAAGGGAAATAATGAGTGAAGAAGATGTTTGAGGGAAAGAACAGAATGGATCGCATGTAAGCCGGAAGAGAAATCAAGTGTGGCAGATGATAATTTATAGTGAGAGACTAGCTGGGAGGTTAAACTGACCCAGATCCTTGACTGATTTTGCTTTTATTTTTGAATAAGGGCAAACCCCAGTGATGCTTGTTGGCCTGGCAGTGCTGGGGGTGGGGATTGGGGCTCCAGGGGATCAAATTTCATACATGTTAGATATGTGCTCTTCCAACTGAACTATGGCTCCCACTCCCTGACGTGTCCTTTCTTTTATTTTTGAATATAGGCACCATGATTTGCAAAGTTGTTGACACTTTGAGGCATACAATATGCCAACTCCAATCCCACCACAAGTGTCCACATCTCTCCACCAATGTCCCCAGGTTCTCTCAGCCTCCAACCTGTTTCCTTGAAAGACAATTTTAAGTTGCATGCTCATAGTTTGGGTCCTGTGTTTATTGTAGTGCTGGATCTAGTGGCTTCAAGAAATACTAAGCAGTCACAAGGAAAGATGAAATCATGCAATTTCATGTGAAGTGAAGTAAGGCCAAAGAGGAAGGACAAATACCATATGTTCTGACCAATCTGCCTGTCTTTTCTCGAATGGTGTTCTTTGTGATTTGAAGAGTATGTCTATTATTCTGTACCCATAGGCAGCAACAAGGTTCAGGGGCTGTGGAACTATGAAGGATAGGTACTTGATGGATGAGGTGGGAAGTAAAACCCAGACAAATTAGGGGAATTTTAGGGCAGTACCTACTCAAGTTGAAAATCTGAAGGTCTGAGAGAAGACAGTGGTAATGGAAATGAAAGCCAGGCTCAGGAAGATCTTGTCCAGTTGGTGCCTACACTGCCTCCCTATTGCCCCATTATGTGAGTGATTATTCACCCCTTTTTAAAATCAAGATTCCATGTGTTAGGCTTCTGTGACCACATAAGAACCCTACATTCCAGAGATCATTCCCCTCCAACTGTAAGTACACATTGAATGACTGAGACATATCTATACCTACTTAAATACCTATTTAAGTAGTCAGATAATCTCTCCAACTTTCAGTTAATATATCAGTTGAAAGGAGAAATAATTGGATGTGTTTACTGAAGCACAAAGTATATATAAAAATATATATACTTTTTAAAAAAAATACAGTCATATTCAAGTTTATTAGGATAGTCTCCCCAAATAGTTATTTTTTTATTCAATAATAACACTTGTGCTTTATAGGACAATGAGTAGTAGTTTAGTATTAGTATTAGAAAATCAAGACAATTAATAGAAAATCAAAAACTGTGAGGAAATAAGAAGGAAAGGAAATAAGATGACATGGTACAGAATATACTCAGGTGATGAAGATATTCTCCTCGATTTCAAAGTTCCAAGGATTTCATGTAGGTATAATTGAAGAGCTCTATTGGAAAGGAAGCTGGAGACAGTCATATAAAGACACTTGATGACTGCCTGGTGGTGGACATGACTGAAAAAAAAATGAGATAAAATGCAGAAAAAGAACATGCATTTTACAGTATTTATAGACAAGGCAGTCCACACATTTTATCTCTAACTGGTTAGTATAGGACTTTTATTCATTTTATTTATCAAAATATTTGTGCGACTGTTACATACATTCAACTAAACCTCACAGTGAGCCCTGGAAGTAGGCTCTTTTATTACTCTCCTTTTGATATCAATTTATTACTCTCATTTTATTATCATAACTTAAGTGGGGGCAACACAGAGATGTTAAACCACTAGTACTCAGGCATTTTGCTGATGAGCAGCGGAGTGAAGGGTTCAAATCCATAACATCTGACATCAGAGTCTTGTTCTAAACCACTGCACTGTAATGCCTATCTAACTTTGAGGATGGGCGAGAAGGCAGTGTTTCGTTTTGTTTCTTTTGATGTCTTAACTTGATCTTGTAAGATCAAGGACTTGGTCAAAGATACATACTCAAATGCACAATTGCACGCTAAATGTAGTGATAGAATTTGTGTTTGCTCTGTGATTGATAAAATCAAATTGTTAAATTTTAAGGAGGTAAAGATGATTTATGCACAGTTCTGGTCTTCAAGAAACAGAGTATGCAGTGAAACAAGAAAAACCTCTTTAACAAATGGCACCGTAAAAACTGATCAGTCACATGTAGTGAACTTAGTCCTCTATCACACACCATGCACAAAAGTCAATTCAAAATGGATTAAAGGCCTTGATATCAGACCTGAAACCATAAATTATATTGAAGGAAACATAGGCAGAACCCTTCATGACATTGAATCTAGAGGCATCTTCAACAATTTAATGCCATTGACCAAGCAATGGAAGCAAAGATAAACAAATGGAACTGCATCAAACTAAGAAGCTATGCACTGTAAAAGAAATCACAACCAAAATAAAACGATATCCCACAGGCTTGAGAAAAAATTTTCTCAGTACTCACCTAACAAAGGATTAGTATTCAAGTTATATAAAGCGCTTGTAAAACTTAGCAAAAGGAACCAGAGAGAGTGTACACTGGGAAAGTTGCCTGCCTTCCATGCAGCTGACCCTAGTTTTATCCTGGCCCTGCACACGTTTTCCCAAGCACTGCAAGGAGTGATCCCTGAGCACAGAGCTGTGACAAAACCAAAACAAAAACATTTAACAAGAAAAAACAATCAACACCATCTAAAATCTGGGAAGAAGAGAAAAACAGAAACAATAACTTTCTGTGAATCAAATAACTTTCCAACTTAAAATATACTGCAGTTCTCTAGGTAAAAATATACCAACTTCATAATAATCTAGTCAAATTTTTAACAATTTAAAGCAGAGACAATTTGGGTTAATATTGCTCATCTTCTGCCTTAACTCTGTCCTAGATTGTTTTGAAAGTTACTTCATGGCTTTTACTTTTCTGATCTGAAAATGAGAATAGATAGTCCATATGCCAATGCCTGATATTCAGGTCTCAAATTGGGCCTGAATTGCCTGACCCAGTAAGATATTCAGTATATTAATCATGGACCTACCATCTTGCAGCTCCTTCAGGGTGACTGATTTAATTACAATGCTTTATTAACAGTCTTGCATCATTGATCAATTATAATTTGAATGAATTAATTATCTAAATGTGAGATTTTCATAATATTGTTATTAAAATTCTGTCACACTAAATGATAAAAGATATATATCAAGCGGGATGCCCTTGCTAAAAGATATATTTGGTTCTCATGCTTTTTTTTTTCTGGTTTGTTTTTATGTTTGTTTAGGTTTATATTCTTGGTATTCAAAGATCCCACACCTTCATCACCACCAAAAGTGCCAAGACCCTTGCCAACTGTTTTTCTAATCCACTTTCCTCCCTTATCCCACCCCAAAAGCTTCCTCCTCTCACCGTTCGGTTATCTCAGTTCTGCAGTCAAAGTCCAAGAATTTGTTATCATTAGATATTGTGTGGCTGGAGCGATAGCACAGCAGGTGGGGTGTTTGCCTTGCATGCCAGCGACCTGGCCAACCCAAGCTCAATTCCTCTGCCTCTCTCGGAGAGCCCGGCAAGCTAGCAAGAGTATCTCGCCTGCATGGCAAAGCCTGGCAAGCTACCCGTGACGTATTCGATATGCCAAACACAGTAACAAGTCTCACAATGGAGGTGTTACTGGGCCCGCTCGAGTAAATCGATGAACAATGAAAGGACAGTGCTACAGTGCAGATATTGTCTGTTTCCTGGCTTTGGTTCTGTATGTATAACATTAAACATATGAGTGAGATAGTCCTGGATCTGTCCTCCTGGTAACTTACTTCGCTTTACTTGATACACTTTTCGCCTTTCCTTATAGCTGAGTTGGTATATTTTGTTGTGTAAATATACCACCACAGCTTCTAAGACTTAAATAATCGATTGTACATTGAAATTTTAATTTTGAATATTATTGATTTTTCTCATTTTTAAATAGGAACTTACTGACAATGGCAGAGCAAATCATAAAGAAGTTAAAGAGGCTGGAAGAACAAGCTATGGCACTCCTGGTCAGAAGAACAAAGGTTTGTATGATGCGAAGGAATACTCCTGAGAAGATTTCCTAAATGAATTAACATATTTCTGAACTTGGAATGTTGATGTTTGAATAATAATTTTTCTTTCTTGATTTTTTTTATAATTATCTTCTTTTATCAGAAAATTAATTCAAGGGATATTGAAAAATGAGATAATGTCTTTCTAGTACAGCACTGTAGCACTGTCCTCCCGTTGGTCATCGATTTGCTCAAGTGGGCACCAGTAATGTCTCACAACAAATTGTGAGAACTTGTTGTTACTGTTTTTGGCATATCGAATATGTCACGGGTAGCTTGCCAGGCTTTTCTGTGCGGGTGAGATACTCTCGGTAGCATGCCAGGATCTCCGAGAGGGACGGAGGATTAGAACCCCGGTCAGCCTCATGCAAAACAAACGCCCTATCTGTTGTGCTATTGCTCCAGCCCTTATCGCTCCATTCTAGTATAGTGATAGAAATTTTGAAATAGAAAACCAGGAGTAACTTATTAAAGCAACTTACTAAATCAGGCTTTGACACCCCAAAGTTTATTTTATTTTAATTTTTAAGATAAAGGTAACATACTTTAGAATACATATCAATGAAATTGATTTAATTTGTTCTGACATTTCCACTTAGGTAAAGTTTTGATTTGTAATAATAACTCAGAGATTTTACTGTGAGTTTCCTTTGTGCAAAGCATTTCCATATTCTCATTTTATGTCATGATGTTCACTTGGTTCACTTGATGTCTTATTTTGGTTCATGTGCTCCTGATGGAAGATTCTCTGGAAACTCTTTTAACTACATATATAATAATTTATTTTATGTAGGAGTACTGCTATTTGTGCTCGTTTCGGCAGCACATATACTAAAATTGGAACAATACAGAGAAGATTAGCATGGCCCCTGCGCAAGAATGACACGCAAATTCGTGAAGCGTTCCATATTTTTTGGGCTGGAGCAATAGCACAGCGGTAGGGCGTTTGCCTTGCATGCAGCCAACATGGCCGACCCGAGTTCGATTCCTCCGCCCCTCTCGGAGAGCCCGGCAAGCTACCGAGAGTATCTCGCCTGCACGGCAGAGCCTGGCAAGCCACCTGTGATGTATTCGATATACCAAACACAGTAACAACAAAATCTCCAATGGAGATGTTACTGGGCCCGCTCGAGCAAATCGATGAACAACGGGAGGGCCTTACTGCTATTTATTCAGCCACTGATTAGGCTGATTGAATTTTGCATAAACTCCACCTCACTTTTTCTCATTTTTTATAATTTTATTCATTGAATCACTGTGAGAGCAGTTTCAAAGCTTTCTCAGGTTTAAGTCTCGGTCATACAATGAAACACCTATATCCTTCACCAGTGCCCTTTCTCCACCACCAAAAACCCCAGTGTTGGGTAACATTGCTTTGTCCTTCAAGAAGCTTAGGTTTATCTGGTTACACCCATCAATCTGGTTACACCCATCACAGTGCTCCTGAAGCACTTCCACTTCCATTGTGTTTATCTGTAAACAATCTTCCCTATGCTCTCCTTCCCACCCAGTTAATCAGCTTTCCCCTTAATCAGACTTTGTTAATTTGTAAGATCAGTTTCCCAGAAATCTATGATTTTATATTTATGAGTGAAATATTGTCTTTCTCCTCTCCCTATGCCTTATGAATAGTTTACCTTAAAGTAATATCCTTTTTGTATAGATACAGGAAGACCGTTAACATTATGCTTTGTAACTTAGGATTTGATTGGCCTTGAATATTATTCACTCCTGGGCATCTTTCTCGACTTAAGCCTCAGTTGCCCTTAGTTCCTAACACCCCAAAAGCAGGGTCCCGACGAGGGACTGAATGGACCCAGGGCAAGCAGTGAGCTACCCTGGCAGCGAAATGGGCCAGGCCAAAGTGCCACGATTCTTAACTATAAGTTAAGAGTTTGATCATGGACAAATGCTGTCATGATCCAAGGTAACGACAAGACTAGGATCCTGCTAGGGGTGGGAAAGACTATCTGGCCTGAGCACCGTAGTCTGAGATCGAGATGGCCCTAGGAGAGCAATTCTATAAGTTTAGGATATTTCTTACTGTATCCATACAAAATGATTTATATTATATTCTTATATGCTTGTTGGACAAGGAGAGGAGAGGCACGCCCATGGGATTCTGCTCTAGGGTGAGTCCTCCTGCTGAGGAAGGATCTGTCCTAGGAGCGGTCTTCCCTGAGGCTAAGATTTCTACCCCTGTTGATCTCCACCCCTATTGATTGTGACCACACCTATGTAATTGTTTTCCCCAATTCCTCTTGGAGGGGATATAGGAGACAGTAGATTGGGCAAAGGGGGGCAGAGATAGAGAGATGAGGAGAGAATCAGAATAAACTACGACTAATACCTACCAGCCTGGCCCTCGTTCCTTCCTCCGCCTGACCATCGCCATCGACCTCTCCGGGGTGGTAGAAGGGTGAGACTACCGAACGCGGGCGGCGGGAGAGATAGAGCCGCCGCCGTGTGGGTGCCGTGCCACCTATTTGTGTGTGTTTACACACCCCAGTATACCCCCATCCCACACCCTCCCCCTACCTGTGGGGCAGATGATTTTCAAATCACTCTCTCTATACTTGGATCACATTCAACATTTTGACACCACACCCACCATTATTATTTGGGATTTTACCGCAACACTCAGATATGCCAAAAAGGCAACAGTAGACAATTTGTTTTCTATTGCTGGTCATGAATAATATATGATGTTGCGCGGTTGCAGTAGTGGCTGAGCAATTTTGAAATTCCAAAATTTTAACAATTAAATCTGGGGAGATTTCCTGCTAAAACCTGCTAGGTTCTGAAATCTGTTTCTGAATCTCTGGGATCATGGCCATTAAGCAGCTTGATCAAGAACCGGAGAGGCCGTTCCTGGGCAGTGACTCGCAGTCTCGTTGGGGTGGCAGAAACGTGGGGAGGGGGTAGTGTGATCTCGACCCTTACTGAGCATGACTGGCATGATCTTACTAAGTTGAAAGGACACAGATTGCACCCATAGACACATGCTTCAATGGTCACCCAGAGAAAAGAAATGTGTGCAAAACAGGTATGCAAATTTTTACCAGCTTAAAAGTAAAGTAGTGATAAGAACCCAAATGGCCTGCAGTGGGTTGCTGCGGACTTACTGGAAAAGTCTGTCCCAAAGTATATGGTATGAGTGATTTCATGTATTTAACATCTCAAAGTGACAGAAGCAAAGTGATGGACAACAGTTTAGCCATTACCCAGATATGTATCATGAGTGGGTTCTCAGTTCCAGAAACCTCTACAGGAATGAAGTGGCAAAAAAGTTAACTCCACACACGAACAAAGATTTTAAAATGTTAACTACTAAGAAAAGTTTCCAGTGCTGGGGGCAAGGGGAAATCTTCCCCACCACTCTGGGTTTGTCTTTGACTGGATGAATGATCAAAATAGCAGCAGACAGGTTGGCAAAGGAAAACAACTTTTGTTATTGAATTGACTGATTTAGTAACAAACCTATGACAGATTTACAGAGCTGTAAATGTTATAAAAGGAGGGGAGAACATGGATAATACCCTGGGCGAGGGGAAGCTTCTGGTGTCAAAGAGAGAAGAAGATAACAAATTTTTCTGTGAGAATAAAAAGATAAATGTTTCAGATAGAGAACACCTGATCACTGATAATATCACACCTGGATGGTACTCCCCGAAGGATATTCTTCTAGCTCACTAAAATGTGCTTATTTAGGAAATGAGCTTATTTAGGAAAGGGCCAAGGATTGAGATGAGGACTTGAGCTTCTTTTCAACCTCTAGAGCAAAGTTCCCTAAGCTTTTTTGCCTACTACGCACTTTGCAGAAAATACATCACTTAGTGCCTTCTTCTCTAAGTGTATAAACAGAAAGTGTCCCCCAACTGCTACACTAAATCACCCATGGTTCCAGCATTCCCCAGGGAGGTAGAGTCACCCATTTTGAGAAACACAGCTCTGAATTTACAGTACTTTAAAATTTAAAATAATTCCTGTTTTGGGGGGCTGGAGCAATAGAACAGCAGGAAAGGTGTTTGCCTTGCACTTGGCTGATCCGGCTTCGATTCCCAGCATCCCATATGGTCCCCCAGCACCACCAGGAGTAATTTCTGAGTGCAGAGCCAGGAGTAACCCCTGAGCATTGCTGAGTGTGATCCAAAAGAAAAAAAAATAAAATAATCCACATTTTTCAAGTAGCTGAAGCGATAGCACAGAGGGTAGGGCATTTGCCTTGCATGTAGCCAGCCCGGCCGAGCTGGGTTCGATTCCTCCACCCCTTCTCGGAGAGCCCGGCAAGCTACCGAGAGTATCTTGCCCGCAGGGCAAAGCCTTGCAAGCTGCCCGTGATGTATTCAATATGCCAAACACAGTAACAACAAGTCTCACGATGGAGACGTTACTGGGCCTGCTCGAGCAAATCAATGAACAATGGGAGGATAGTGGACAGACAGACATTTTTCAAGTAATAGTTTCAGTTCCCTTGGCCTTGAAAAAGATTCCCTTTTTTCAGGGATTTCTGTTCCACGATGCCAATTTTCCAACTCCCAATTATGGTTATTTTCATCTATTTTGTCACTTTTCTGGTTTCCAATAGGAGGCCAATTCCCACTATTGCTAGAAGCACAAGCTCCTATAGCCTTTGATTTGCTTTCAAAGTTTCATCTCTTCATTCCACTGTGCTGTGTTTTCTGGAGAAAATTGTTGGTTCCTTAAAACTCACTTTTTAACTTGTTTCCTCCTCCTCTCTCTCTCCTCCTCCTCACCCTCCTCCTCCTCCTCTTCATCCTCCTCTTCATCCTTCTCCTCCTCATCCTCCTCCTGTCTTCCTCCTCTCCTCCTCTGCCTCTTCCTCCTCCTCCTCCTCTTTGCCTCCTCTTCCTCCTCGTTTTCCTCCTCCTTCTCCTCTTCCTCCTTCTCCTCCTTCTCCTATTCCTCCTCTTCCTTCTCTTCCTCCTCCTCCTTCTCCTTCTTCTTTCTATCTTTATTCAGATGTCAGCAAAACACTCTTTCAGTAACTCTTCTGTTTCCCGCTTCCTGGTGACAAGTGTTGGTGTGATTCATTATGTATCACGATCACTATCACAACCATCCTGTTATTCGCAGGGGCGAGGGGGGAGGGGAAGGGGAAAAAAAGAGAAAAAAAGAAATATATTATTCTGCCATGTATCTCATGTAATTATTGATTCAAATTTTGGAGAATCCAAATTTTTTCATACATCCAAATACCCAAACTTTGGCTAAATCAAATGTTCTTTTAGCAGAATGAAGATAATCTTTTGTTGATTTCTTAAAAAATGCATGCAGGTCCCGGGACTGAGATCTCCAAACCTACTCGGATCAGGGCTGAGCATCCTCCACCCAAATCCTCCAAATTCCAGTAGGCGGCGGTCACACCCACCAACTGGCCCTCTGGCGCCGTGTAATCCCATCAACGGCCAAGACTCAGAGACTATAAAACCCAGCTCCTGGAAGCGCAGCCGCGCGACATCTTATCATCTCATTCCTACTTTGGACAAACTGGCAGGCTACCGAATGTAACCTGCCCACACGGCAGAGTCTGGCAAACTCCCCATGGCCTACCCAATATGCCAAATATCAGTAACAATGATGGGTCTCATTCTCCTAACTCTGAAAGAGCCTTGAATATGGCACTTTTTTTTTTTTAAATCTCAGGGCTAGGACGAAGGAGACGTTACTGGGGACTGCTCATTATGTATATGGGTAACATACAGAAGGCAGGTTAGAAAGGTTCACCTACAGTGGTTCCAGCAAATCTGTGTATCAGTACTATTTTTACCAACTACATAAAGTAAAGTAAAGTAAAGTAAAGGCCCTCCCATTGATCATTGATTTGCTCGAGCGGGCCCAGTAATGTCTCCATTGGAGACTTTGTTGTTACTGTGTCTGGCATCGAATACGTCACAGGGAGCTTGCCAGGCTCTGCTGTGCGGGCGAGATACTCTCAGTAGCTTGCCAGGCTCTCCGAGAGGGGCGGAGGAATCGAACTTGGGTCGGCCGTGTTGGCTGCGTGCAAGGCAAACGCCCTACCGCTGTGCTATCACTACAAATACATAGGTGGCTCATGAATTCTGAATTTTAGAACTAGAACTAGAAAGGATCCTCAGTTATTATCTAGCCTAACACCCTCAATCCCAAAATGGAAAAAGAATGATCCAGGGCACGATGCAGTGATATTTAAAAAGTGCATTCAGCCCTTTGGAAAACAGTATGGATGATTCTCAAAAAATTAGAAATTGAGCTGCCATTTGACCCAGCAATACCACTCCTGGAAATATAGCCCGGAGAGGCAAAAAAGTACAATCAAAATGATATCTGCACTTCTATGTTCATTGCTGCACTGTTCACAATAGCCAAAATTTGGGGAAAAAAACGGGTGCCCGAGAACAGATGACTGGTTAAGGAAACTTTGGTACATCTACACAATGGAATACTATGCAGCTGTTAGAAGAGATGAAATCATGAAATTTACATACAAGTGGTTCTACATGGAAGCATCATGCTAAGTGAAATGAGCCAGAAAGAGAGGGTCAGACATAGAAAGACTGCACTCATCTGGGGAATATAAAGTAACAGAATGGAAGTCAAACACCCAAGAATAATTGAGATAAGTACCAGGAGGTCTGCTCCAGGACTGGGAAGCCGGTCTCATAAGCTGGGGAAAAAGGCAGCTCAGATAGAAAAGGGAACACCAAGTAAGGATGTTTGGAGAACTTACTCGGGATGTGAGATGTGTGCTGAAAGTAGATTATAGACCGAACACGATGGTCACTCAAAACCTCTATTGCAAACTACAACACCCTAAAGGAAAGAGTGAGCAAAAGGGAATGCCTTGTCACAGAGGCGGAGTGGGGTGGGAGGAATGGGGTGTGGGAGTGGGAGGACTACTAGGATCATTGGTGGTGGAGAATGGGCACTGGTGGAGGAATGGATACTTGGTCATTGTATAACTGAAATCCAAGCACGAAAGTTTGTAAGTCTACAACTGTACCTCTGATGTTTCACTAATATAAATAAATAAATAAATAAATTTTTAAAAAAGTGCATTCACAGACCTCTGTCAATCAGCAATGATTTTCCATTTTACTGGTACAAGTATTTGGTGTTTGTGTATCTATTTTTTTTGGATTTAAAAAAATTTTATTAGTGAAACATTATGAAGTACAGTTATAGACTTACAAATTTTTGTACTTGGGTTTCATTTATACAATGATCGAGTACTCATCCGGTGTTTGTGTATCTAAAAGGTGAAATTCTTTTTGTTCTTTTTACACAGGGCCTTCACTACATGTAAAATATTCATCTTTTCTCACTATTATGTTTTGGTTTTGCTACAGGAAAACATGCTTGAAAATCCAATGTATAAGAAGCCTTTGGCTATACCTTTGACATTTGATTTTGAGATGGAATTTGAAGAGAATATTACTACACCGAAATTTCAGGAGGTCTCAAAAGTCACTGAAGATAAATCGAACGTCATTAAAACACAAGACAGGTAAATAATCATAACTACTTCAAACTTCCAGCACTACTATCAGCATTTTCTAAACAATATAGTATCATATCATGCAATCTATATTAAGTGTAAACTTTGTCAAACGTACATATATGCCACAATGATCATGAGTAATAAAATGCTGGGTTTCACTTCTGGATTATAACATATCAGTTATAAGATTTCACTGTTGAAGATGGTAACTGCAAACAGCAATGAAGATTTTGAATTTTTAAAGACAGATTTGTCTCTTTTTTGTTTTCGATGATTATCAGGGCTTACTCCTGACTATGCGCAGGGATTACTTGTGACCATACTTGGAGGACCATCTGATGTGCGGGGGATAGAACTGGGGTCAGCCACATACAAAGAAGGTATCCTACCTTCTGTACTATCTCCACCACCCACAGAAAGACTTCTATTGGGCTCTATTGCCCACAATTTATATAAAGACTTATTTCAAAATTTAATCATCATATGGGAGGAAAATTTGCTCCGAAAAACAGCACATTTTCTCTGTGTACTTACAAGAAGTAGTCAGAATACACCATACTTAATCTTTCACTGGCATTGTTACAGGTGCAATTTTTTTTTCTGTAATGCTATTTTTTGTTAGACATCAGAAGTGTAGAGAAGAGCTTAGAAAGAAAAACAAACTCTACTAAAGTATAACGGGTAGAACTTTATATACATTGGACTTTGATGGTAGAATGAATACTGGTTCCCTTGGAATATGCTAGGGATCCACTCTGGCCATAAGGCCACCAGCTGAGAAACATAGGCCTAGGACTAGAGAGATTGTACAGAGCTTTAAGGTGCTTGTCTTGCATGTAGTTAACCTCAGTTCAGTTCCTCACACCACAGGAGGTCTCCCTCACGTACCACCAGGAGCGGTCCTTGAGCAAGAGCCAAGAGTAAACCCTGAAGAACCAATGGATATGTCCCAACCTAACCCTCCTTCTAACAAAGAAACAAAGAAAAACAGGTTTAAGCTTGGACCTGAGCCTTTTTATGTCATTTCCATAAAATGACACTTCTGGTCCAGGGACCACCCTTTGAGCAATGGGTCTAACTGTCCCACACTAATCATGGTATCCAGCATTCCTTTTCCAATGACTGTTTTGCCTCCCCAGAACTGCACAATACGGCCCTGGGTGTCCAAGAGCCACGAGTTCTCAAGCACTGTAGTGCTGAGCTTGAGCATGGATTCATCAGGCCCAACTGCCAGGGTCAACGATCAAGGGTGGTGATTCCAGGGCCCCTGAACACTGCTGAGGGTAACCCCTATTAAAATAATAATAGCACCGTAGCACTGTTGTCCCATTGTTCATCGATTTGTTCGAGCAGGCACTAGTAACATCTCCACTGTGAGACTTGTTACTGTTTTTGGCTTATCGAATAACATCATGGGGAGCTTGCCAGGCTCTGCTGTGTGGGCGGGATACTCTTGGTAGCTTGATGGGCTCTCCGAGAGGGACGGAGGAATCGAACCCAGGTCAACAGCATGCAAGGCAAACACTCTACCCACTGTGCTATCGCTCCAGTCCATAATAATAATAATAATAATAATAATAACAATAATTATAATAATAGTCATCTCTAGGACATCAAAATACAAGTGTAGTTGTAGAAACTGCAGCAATTTATACAAAGGATGTCCTTACGAAAAATGATAAAGGTGACTACAGTAAATAGTCTTTCAATATAGACAGAGTAGCAGATATTGAAAGAAGATGACATTTAAATAACTGGGGCCAAGGAGATAACTCAAGTGGTATAGCAAATGCCTAGTATTTGTGAGGCCTGTATCAGATTCCTGGCAGGGCATGGACCCTGAGCACCTCTGGGTGTGGCATGGGTGGCCCCTGAATACAACCAAGTCTCAGCATCACAAGGAGTGTGGTCCCTTAAAGTGTGTGTGTGTGTGTATGTGTCTGTGTCTGTGTCTGTGTTTGTGTAAAACTTTTGATGGGTTTTATTGTGATTTATGCTTTATTTCAGTGGTCCAGAACCTAATCTGAAACTCTGAGATCTGCTCAGAACACATCAACTTTCTTAAGTAACATCAATAGCTAAAGAATTGAATGGAGGAAGATACCTGTTTGCAATCATTAAACATTGTGATTGTAGCTGGTCTCTGAACTCCATATCTCACCACACTGACCTGGTTCTGTCATTGCCCCCAATATCTTATTTAATATATTTCTAGAATCATAGTTCCCTGGTGAGTTCCCCAGTCTTAGGACAACTGTATTTTCCTGTCTCTCTACTTCAAGTGGTAGTCACTAACATGTTCCAGTTTTACTTACTCAATCACATTTTCTGTGTTCATCAAAGTAGGACAAGAACCAAATAGAACGGGCACTTCACATTTCTCCAAATTGATCTTTTTGATTAATTTTATTTATTTTTTAAATGTAGGAGTACTGCTATTTACTCAGCTGCCAATTAAGCTGATTGAAGCAGGCATGAACTCCACATTACCTTTTTTTAAAAAAAAGTTTTTTTTACTGAATATCCATGAGATAAACCATTATAAAGCTGTTCATGATTGGTTTTCAGTTATACAATGATCCAGCACCCTTCCATCCACCAATGTACATTTCCCACCACCATCTACACCCCCAGTCTGCCTCTATGGCAGGCTCTCTCTCTCTTTCTCTCTCTCTCTCTCTCTTTCTCTCTCTCTCTCTCCTTTTTCTTTTGTGCATTATGGTTTGAATGCAAGTACCAAGAGGTCATCCTGTTTGTTCAGGGCCTTCAGTATTTTTATCGGGAAGGTAAAGCTGGAGTAGCCTTTTAACTGGGTTGCAGCTTTGGGGTGTGAACATGGCTGCCAAGGCTTCTGGAAGTACGGGGAGATAGGGGGAGGTAGTCCATTTCAACCCCAAGAAAGCCTGGAGATTTCAGTCACAAAACCCACAACCCAAATTTTCAGGAGGTTATATTTTGATGAGGTGCGTCCTGATACAGTGAAGTTTGGTCAGGGGAATGACAGTGCTTCTGGATTGTGGAAGAAAGCAGCTGCAGGGGACTCTGCTTGGGTGGGCAGCAGGCTGACCCACCCTCTCCACCTCTGATTTATCCTGATCTGTTCAGCCTTGAGCAAGTCCAATATTAACTCTGGCTTTTCATCTCTTTTGAGATTTATTTTATTTATGGGTCGCTGAATCAAGGCCAGTAGAAGAGCTTACATGGTAGTGCTGGAATTGGTTCGTGGAGGTGACTGCCAGTGTTTCTAGGAGTATAGAGAAGTGGGGGGAGGAACCCCATCCCGACCCCAAGAAAGCCTGGAGATTTCAGTCACAAAACCTGCATATCTGAATTTTCAACAAGTTAATATCTCAGTGAGGTCTGTTCTGAACTGGTGGAGTCCATCCAGGGGCATGCAGGTGATTTGGGATTGTGGAAGCAAGAGACTGCCAGGGGCTCTGCTTGGGAAGGCATCAGGCTGACCTGCTCCCCTCTCCGATTTACACTGTCTGTTCAGCCTTGAGTGGGTTCAAAATTAACTGTGGCTTTTGATCTTTTTTGAGAGTTATTTATGGGTCTCTGAAGCAAGGCCAATAAATGAGTTTGTATAGCCAAGCCGAGCGATAGCACAGCGGGTAGGGCGTTTGCCTTACACGCGGCCAACATGGCCGCCGACCCGAGTTCGATTCCTCCGCCCCTCTGGGAGAGCCCGGCAAGCTACCGAGAGTATTCGATATGCCAGACACAGTAACAGCAAAGTCTCCAATGGAGACGTTACTGGGCCCGCTCGAGCAAATCGACGATCAACGGGAGGGCCTTTATTTATTTTTATAGCCAAGCCGAAGGTAGTTTGTGGGTATGGCTCCCACATACCTAATTTTTGGCATGATTAATTTCTCGAGGAACTTGGTCCCAAGTTTTTGGGGTCTGTCCAGAGGCACAATGGCAATTTGGGGGTATCAGGAAGCCTGAAGGCACTGGCCCTGCAAGTACAGGTTGACTTGCTGGTGGCACCACACCCCTTAGATTAGTTTTATTCATGTGGTTATTTTAAAGTCACTTGATTTCTTTCAGGACTCTCTCTTTCAAAACAATGCCTGAACCTACAGAGAGCAATTTTGAAAATTTAAATTTAGGACCATATTTAGTGCCAGCAAATATCAAGAAAGAAGAAAGAAAGCCAAAAGGTAAGGGTGTGTGCCAACATATTTATTTCTCCTTTGATTTATTTTTGAGTGCTTTTATTACATACTTTGTTCCTATGTCTTTAGTGTTCTTTGATCATTTGGTTTCCCTGTTGAAAAATTTGGGGAGTTCTCCAAACCCAAGCCCCAAGAAGTCTGGAAGCCTCACCAGCAATTCTCTGCCACAAGGCCAGTCAGCGGTGTAATACAAGGACTTCAGGATGCAATATTGCTGGGACTCCACAGTGCCAAGATACCCAGGCTATCCCAGTTGTTATGGGGGCCTTTGGGATCACACCTAGTGGTGCTCGTGAGCCTTCAGGGTTGCACCCAGTGATGCTTAGGGAACCACGTGGTACAGAAATAAACATGTCAGGCACAGGCTGCACTAACCAGTGTGCTATCTCTCAGCCCTTGCTGAAAGTTTGTGGATTAAAATTTTAGTGCGAATCTTTTGGTAAGTCACACAGAAGAGTTTCTTAATTGGAAGAGATGTTAAGTATCAGAATGAACAAGTTACAAAACTCACAGTTATGTTTACGGAATTATGTATTATGTTTTTCTAGGATGAAAATCTCAGCATTTCACCTCCACCCTTGTTATTGTTTTTAAAAATTACATAATATTTAAAAAAACAATCAAGTATGGATGACATGCTTTAATCAAACTCATTTTACAGAATTAGAAATTAGGAATCTGTGTTATAGAAATCAGCTTTATGGCTCCATGGAGAATTTGAGTGAATTGTTTTGAATTTGCTTATCTTTATCTGACATTATGTTTACTAAAACTTCCATTAATAGCACTATTCTCATCAACCATGTGGTCTGAGGCTCCTTGGTGGCCAGATTGCCTAATTTTTTCCATTACTCCTCATAATCTAACTTCTCAGTCTTTGTTTGCATCCACTGTCTCTGTTTCCCCAACTTTTCAAACTTTAAACCACTCAAGTGCTTTAAACCAGGTTTTTATATTGCTCAAGCTTTAAACCATTCTGCTCTTATTTCCACTAAACTTCTCACAGAGTAACCAGAAAATCCAAAACTGAACTCATACATAACTCCCTCTTCCAATCATTCATCGCAAAATTTCTTCCCACTCAGCCACCTGCAGCATTCCATCCTTCTCAGCACATCAGGCCACTCTATGACAATTGGCTCAATTCTGAAACCTGGACACTGTCCTTCATCTCCCTCTTATTTCCTTCCCAAAGTTCAAATCATAACTCAGTTCTTCCAATTCTAACTCATTTCCAACTCAACTCAACTCAACTCAACTCAACTCAACTCAATTCAATTCAACTCAATTCAACTCAATTCATCATTAAGTCCTTTCCATTCTAACTCTGTTTCCACTATCTCTGTGTCAACATCCTGGCCCTATCCAACACTATTCTGTTGCTGGATATATTCATGGAAATACTGGGGTTTCCTAGCATGTACCTCAAAACGCTTCCAGCCTCTACCCATTAGCCACTTCCAAAGTCACTTTCTTATTCCAAGCATTTGATACAGCAACACTTTGCCAATTTCTCTTTTAGTTATTTTGGGTGGCTTTAGCAAATCCACCACGAGTTGGATGGCTTAAACATTAAATACTTTAGCGAGGGTCTTTTCCCTTTAATTGAGTTAAACTGATTTAAAGTACTATATATGTGTTAGGAAAACAGGTTCTCACCTCATCAAATGTATGGTGCCCCACCATTACTGCCATCCACATAACTGTACCCCTCTCCCACTGCCCTCTGGTCCCCTCCTCCCCTTGCTCCCAACATCTCCCTCATCTTTGGTAACCTCAGTTCTGCAGTCAGAATCCAATGGTCTGATTTGATTTGGTTCAGTCTGCCGAGCAGCAAAGATTTTTTTCTGCAGTCATGGATGCCAGAAATCCAAGATAGGGGTGTCAGTGAAGTAAGGTTCTGTGAAGACCCTCTTCCTGGCTTGCAGACAGTCTCCTTGCTGTAGCTTCCTTTGGCAGAGAAATAGACCATCTCTTTCATGCGTCTCTTTTGAATCAGGAAACTAACCATCCTGGGGGCCCACTCTTACTGCCTCAGCTACACTTAAGTACCTTCCAAAAGCTTTACCTCCAAAAGGCCACCACATCGAAGATAAGAACATCAATCTTTATATTTTGGGAGGAACACACCTTAATACACAGCAACTCACACGATCTAAAATACACTTCGTATTCTTCCTCACTGAAATCTGTTTATTTCTGTCACAGCATATCTCTCAGTTTGTGATTATTTATTCCTTGGTTGTTGTTATGTGGTGATCATATTCAGTTTGGTTTGGTTTTGGGACAACACTTAGCAGTACTTGTGGGTTACTCCTGGCTTTGTGCTCAGGAATCTCTCTTGGAGGTGATCAGGAGACTGCATGCAGTGCAGAAATCCAATCAAGTCCCATGCAAGGCAAGTGACTGACTTGCTGTGCTATCTGGCCCCACTCCTTTGTTGTTGTTTTTTTAACTTGTTATAGGTATAAAGGTTCTCACCTTGCATAACCAGCCCCAGTTGTTGTCCCCACATTACGTCTAGTCCCTCAAGTACCACCACGAGTTACAGAGTTAGAAATAGTCCCCAAACTCATGAGTGTGGCCCCACCCCAAAAAAAGTCAGTGAAGAATTAATAAAAAAATTTCTTTGACCACTAAATATGATTCTATTTTATTTAGAAATCCATATTTCCCCAAAAAGATATGGCTAGATTTATGGCATAACTGTAATAATAAAAATTTATATTCTGTTAATTGAAATTCAGATTGTTCTAGAATATATTTTGTTCTAAAATGTAAAAGCAACACACATATGAGCAAATAGAATGAAAGGACATTTTTAAAAGTTACTAAAATGAAAACATGTCTTAACTGAGTTAAAGTGGTCAAATGATATGTGAATTTATATTTTTATTTGTTTCTCCAGAGTTTTGGGGGGAAAATCTGAAAACAAGACCTTTCATGCATTTATATTATATGAAGGATGGAACTGAGGTAGGTTTAATCTGTGTACTTTAAAATAATCAATAATCAATAGGAATCTAGATTGGCCCTAAATTTTATTTTTAATTTAATTTTATTTTTATAAGGTTGTTCACAGTAATTTATTACATTCAATATTCCAGCATCAATCTACCACCATTACATCTTACTCACCACCATTATTTTGAATTTTCCCAAAGACCACTCAAGCCTGCCTCAATAGCAGGACCTAAATAATTTATTTTATATTGCTTATTATGGATAATTCTCTAAAAATGATCAAAAACGTTTTTCTTAGAAGAAAATGTGTGAAACTTTTTATATCTCACCTGCAGCCATTGAGCCCTTGTATGAGATTACTAATATGTTGTTACAGGTTGAGCTGTGTGTACAAATATATATGTTTTTAATTGAAATCGCTTGTTTTCTGCCTTACATCCTATCCAATGGGTGCTACTCATGGTACATCAGTGGTATATAGTATGACATGTTGCATGGCCGTGTGCTTCAGGAGTTTCAAATTTTTAAATAAGGTAATATAGCTGGAGTTTAATTTTTAATTGGATGGTTACTTTGGGGTCTGAGTCACCTCTGCAGTTTGCTAATCTCTTTTGAGATTTATTTGTGAGTCTCTGGATGATGGCCAGTTAATGAGCTTAGATAGTGCCAGAGGCAGTTTGTGGGTGTGACCAGCAGGCTCCCAGAAGAACAAGAGGATGATGAGAGGTCACCTATCTTCAACTCCATGAGAGCCCGGAGATTTTGGTCACAAAACCTGCATACCTGAGTTTTTCAACAGATTCCCTCACGGATGAGGCTCATCCGAACATTCTGGAGATCTGCTGTGAGATGGTGGCAATTGTGTTCTGGAGATTTTCTGCTGCCAGGGCTCTGTTAGGGCGAGTGATAGACTCACCTGCCCCCTCCAAGGTGCCCCAGATATGAGCTTCAGCCTGGCACGGGTTCTGGAGGCATCATTGCAGCTTGTTGATCTCTTCCAAGATTTGTCTGTCCCTCATATTCCATAAATCCTCCTCTACAAATCACAAATTCAAAGATTTTAGTGTTCAAAGACATAACATTTTAAGTGATTTCAACTCTGAAGTCATATAAAACTTTATGGAGAATAAAAGTAAATATTATGGGATAGTCACTACAATCAAACTATTGAGTAAAACAAGGACTAGCAGTTACCATAAAATTAGTTGACAAGGGATCATTTTTAAATAAAGATGCAGGCATGGGGTGTTAAAGGGATGGTGAGAGAGAAACTGGGGACATTGGTGGTAGGAAATTACACTGGTGGAGGGATGGGTATTGGAACATTTTATGACTGAAACCCAATCGTTAAAAGCTTTGTGATGGTCTATCTCATGGCGATTCCATTTTTTAAAATTAAATCACATTTAATGTGTAATTAATTGTCAAAAAATTAGACCACGTACTGATTTTGTATGGCTAACTTAATCATTTAAATATGTTATTTTAATTTAAAAATTGAAAGTAGAGGCCTGAGAGGTAGTGCAGGGGTTAGGACACGTGCCTTGCATGTGACCAACTCAGGTTCTATCTCCAGTAACAAGTAGTCCCCCAAGCATTGCTGGGTGGAGCCCGGGAAGCCCCCAGCACGGCTGGAGTGGCCTGGGTGATCTCTGCACAGCAGAGACCAAGCAGCACCATCTCCTCGGGCCCTCATATTGACCCGCTGGCCAGGGTGCTGGGAATCACAGGCAGGAGCTACTGGCCCCAGCACTTTGGAAGAGCCCTGCAAAAAAAAAAAAAGTGAAAAAATTTAAATGTGAAACTGAACATTCATTTCTTAATCTTTTAGTGATATAGCTGAGATCATTCAGGGGGTTACTTAAATGATATGTTTACAATAGCAATGACTATATACAGCTATGGGGCAATACTATTGAGGCTGGATAACCACATAAGCAATGATTTACGGAATAGTGAAAAGCAACTGACTTGCCTTGAACATGTCACAATATGTTTTAGCTCAGTGATTAGAGAGGAAAAAAATAGAGAACCTGGGAAGGAAAGTCATTAAGAGCATCTCTTCCGTGACCTTTGCTAATATAGAGAATAAAACAGGAGAATACAGGCTTTAGACCATAACTAATCACATGTTAGGAAATTTTATTGCTATATTTCTGCTGAATTGTTTCCTGAGGAGGTCAAGCCTTATGATTTGGCCTGGATCATGTTAAATATGAAATTTCAGGCTGGTGACAGGACAGCTCAAAGGGCTGAGTTTTGCATGCAGAAGTCCTGAATCTCACCATTCCCCCATACAACCTAGTCCCCAGTACCACTGGGGGGAAGTCCCCAAATTTTGTTGAAATAACTTTTACAAGAGCATAGTGGTTAAATTTTAGTGATGGAAAATAAAAGTAAAATATGTGAGGCTAGGGGAAATTTAAATTTAAATTTTCTCCAGATTAGTTAATTCATATTGAATGAGGTACTAACCACATCCACTTGCCCACATACCACATTCCACATGATGGATATGTCGTTCCCAATGTTCTCCCTTCCGAAATCCAACATGCCATCTCGTCGGTAAAGAAACAAAGAGCACCTGGCCCAGACAAGATCAGACCTGAACACCTGAAGAACTTACCATCAGTACTCATCAATACACTGGCTCGGCTCTTCACACGCTACCTGTCTGAATGCAAGGTTCCATCCCAACCAGCAGGACTGTACTACTATACAAGAAGGGAGACATCCACGACATTGGCAACTATCGCCCAATCTGCCTATTGTCTGTCATCTACAAACTGTTCACTCGAGTCATCCTGAATAGGATTAGCAGAAAACCAGATGAAGGACAACCATGTGAACAAGCCCGATTCCGAAAAGGATTCAGTACCATCGACCATATTCACACGATTACTAAGCTCATTGAGGTTTCTCAGGAGTTCAAGGTGCCGTTCTGTCTAACGTTCATTGATTTAAAGAAGGCCTGTGATTCTGTTGAGACCGAAGCGGTCATGGAAGCCCTAGCCAATCAGGGCGTACAAACTCAATACATCAGGATCCTCCGTGAGCTGTATTGCGGATTCACTACCAGGATCTCACCATTCTACAAAGAAGTAATCATCCATATCAAGAGAGGGGTTCAGCAGGGTGATACCATTTCACCAAAACTCTTCAGTGCCACCCTCGAGAACATCATGCGATGACTGGAATGGGAAAGCATGGGAGTGAAGATAGATGGTCGGCAACTACACCATCTCTGCTTTGCTGATGACATCGTTCTAATAACACCAAACATCAGCCAAGCGGCACAAATGCTGAACGACTTTGACCGTGAATGTGGAAAGGTCGGACTACAGCTGAATCTTACGAAGACAATGTTTATGAGAAACAGCCTTGTTCTTGACACTCCATTCGCTCTCAATGGAACCACCATCTCCAAATACAACAGTTATATATACCTAGGTCAAGAAATCAACATGATGAATGACCTGGCACCTGAGTTGCGCAGGAGGAAGAGAGAGGCTTGGAATGCCTTCAAGAGCATTGAAGAAATAACTAAAAGGACAAAGAACCTCCAGCTACGAGCACATCTCTTTGATTCCACTGTTCTTCCTGCATTAATATATGCCTCAGAGACCTGGACCCTACGAAAACAGGATGAGAACGCTATTCGGGTCTCTCAAAGAGGAATCGAAAGAGCTATGCTTGGAATATCACGATTCACTCAAATGAGAGATAGAATCCGGAGTTCTGATCTTCGTCAACGCTCAGGAATCAGGGACGCTGTCTCATTTGCCAAGGCATCAAAAATCAGATGGGCTGGACACGTAATGAGGTTTACAGACAACCGCTGGACTAGAGCCATTACTGATTGGATTCCACGGGACATCAAAAGATCATGTGGACGCCCACCTACAAGATGGTCAGACTTCTTCGTCAAAACCCTGAATGATCGGTTTGAGGCTCTGCATGTTCCTAGAATGAACAGATACCATTGGGCTACACTAGCACGCAACCCGGATGAATGGAGACGTTACTGGCACCCGCTCGAGTAAATCGATGAATAACAGGGATTAAGTGATTAAGTGATTAAGAACACTCATGAGGGTTGAATTTTTTTGAGGATTAAATACAAATATTTGAAAGAAAAGAACAAGCAAGTTGTAATTATATACTCCAAATATGAATTATCAAGTACATTTTTTACTGAATATTCTTATGAAAGGACTACATTGCTAAATTTTCCATTTCCCTCATATGCAGGAAGTAAATGCTAAACCCCCTGATACTGTGTCTTCACAGTACAAGCAAGAGCGTCAAAGAACAGTCCACCCTACAGTCTTTTCTCCTGTACCCAGCACTCTGTGTGAGGTTTGTAAGAAGGTAAAAAGGCCTGCTTTATTTCCAGGTAAACATACTATGTGTTTATTTTGGAATGACTGAACAGTAACTGCAGTTAACTCTGATCTAAGCACTGAAACTTTGACTGAGGAGAATCAGCCTCTAACCGTGTTACCGTTTAATTTCCCTACCTGGTTTGCGTTTACAAAAACGACAATGGTGCTGGGATTCCAGATTCATTCTCTCTCCTCTCTGCACTTTATCCACACTGATTCCAGTTTCCTTGGACAATATGTTCCAATCACTGTGTTTTGATCCCTTCTGTTCTTTATGCTCAGAACACACTTTTTTCCACCCGGTAAATTCTTGCTTGTCTTTAATAGTTAGAATACTTTTCACTGCAAAAAAGGAAAATCTGACTATACACAGCTCAAACAATAAGAATGTTTATAATCCTGAATAATAGAAGTTCATCAGTAAGATGATTCCACGGAAAGTTAGTCCAGGCGTTTTGATTATGCCATCAAATATCAGTTTCTCCGTCTTTCTCAAGTCTCTCGACCAGCCTTTTTTCCTCACTTGGCAAAACTTGGACGAGTATCAAGTCACTGAAAAGAGACAACCACTAACATGCCTTTGTAAGAAAGAAGCTGCTTCTGGCTAGAATAGCTTCATGCACCCATTGCCAAACAAATTATTACCAGGTTGGAAACCTTTTTTCCCAACTTTTAACATTATCCATTTGATCATTTGATCACTTGACATCCTGTTACTCATCGATTTGCGCAAGCGGTCACCAGTAACGTCTCCATTTGTCCCTGTCGCATGCTAGTGTAGCTTAATGGCTTCTGCTCGTTCCAGGAACATGAAGAGCCTCAAACCAATCATTCAGGGTCTTGATGAAGAAGTCTTACCATCTCGTAGGTGGGTGGCCACACAGTATTTTGATGTCCTGTGGAATCCAGTTGGTAACAGCTCTAGTCCAGAGTTCATCTCCAAATCTCATTATGTGTCCAGTCCATCTGATTTTCGATCCCTTGGCAAACAAGACAGCGTACCTGATTCTTGACTGTGGACGGAGGTCGGAACTCCGGATTTTCTCTCATTTGAGTGAAGCGTGATACTCCAAGCATAGCTCTTTCGATTCCACTTTGGGAGGCCCGAATAGCATTCTCATCCTGTTTTCATAGGGCCCAAGTCTCTGAGGTGTATGCTAATGCAGGAAGAACAGTGGAATCGAAGAGATGTGTCCAGAGCCGGAGGTTCTTTGTCCTCTTATCTATTTCTTGGACTCTCTTGAAGGCATTCCAAGCTGCTCTCGTCCTCCTGTGCAACTCAGGTGCCAGGTCATTTGTCATGTTGACTTCTCGACCTAGGTACACATAACTGTTGCATTTGGAGATGTTCGTTCCGTTGAGAGCAAATGCTAATGGAATGTTTCTCATAAACATTGTCTTCGTGAGATTCAGCTGTAGTCTGACCTTTCCACAGTCACGGTCGAAGTTGGTCAGCATTTGTGCTGCTTGGCTAATGTTTGGTGATATTAGAATGATGTCATCAGCAAAGCGGAGGTGGTGTAGTTGCCAACCATCTATCTTCACTCCCATTCCTTCCCATTCTAGTCGTCACATGACATTCTCAAGGGTGGCACTGAAGAGTTTCGGTGAAATGGTATCACCCTGCTGAACCCCTCTCTTTTTTTCCCTTTTATTTTTTTTATTAGTGAAACACCATGAGGTACAGTTGTAGATTTACAAATTTTTGTGCTTGGGTTTCAACTATACGATGATCAAATACCCATCCCTCCACCAGTGCTCATTTTCCACCACCATGTATCCCAGTATTCCTCCCACACCCATCCCCCCCATCCCACCCTGCCTCTGTGGCAGGGCATTTCCTTTTGTTCTCTCTCTCCTTTTGGGTGTTGTGGTCTGCAAAAGAGGCATTGAGTGGCAATCATGTTCAGTCCATAGTCTACTTTCAACATGCATCTCCCCTCCTGGGAGGATCCTCCAAACACCCTTTATTTGGTGCTCCCTTCGCTATCTGAGCTGCCCTTTCCCCTAGAATGCTTGGCTGGCCTCTACGCTATGGAGTAATCCTCCTGGTTCTGATCTCGGCTATACTTGGAACCCCTCTCTTGACATCAATGATTACTTCTTTGTAGAATGGTGAGATCCTGGTAGTTAATCCATAATACGGCTCACGGAAGATCCTGATTATTGAATTTGAACACCCTGATTGACTGACTAAGGCTTCGATGACTGCTTTGGTCTCAACAGAATCAAAGGCCTTCTTTAAATCAATGAACATTAGACAGAGAGGCATCTTGAACTCCCGAGAAACCTCAATGAGCTTGGTTATCTTGTGAATATGGTCGATCATGCAAATCATTTGTGGAATCCAGCTTGCTCACATAGTTGTCTTTCATCTAGTGTTCTGCCAATCCTAGTCAGATGAGTTGAGTGAACAGCTTGTAGACGACAGACAATAGGCAGATTGGGCGATAGTTGCCAATGTTGTGGATGCCTCCCTTCTTGTACAGTAGTACAGTCCTGCTGATTTTCCATTAGGACGGGATCTTGCATTCAGACAGGTAGTGTGTGAAGAGCTGAGCCAGTGTATTGATGAGTACTGACGGCAGATTCTTCAGGTGTTCGGTCTGACCTTGTCTGGGCCAGGTGTTGCTGTTCGCTTCTTTGCAAACGAAATGGCATGTCAGATTTCGGAAGGGAGAACGTTGGGGATGACATATCCATCCTGCAGAATTTGGTATGTGGGCAGATAGACGTGGCTATCAAAGAGATCCTAGTAGAAGTCATGGGTAATCTCCATTGCCCTTCTGGAAGACGTGATAGATCCATCAGGACGTCAGAGAGCAGTCAACATCTAAAGTAAGAAATAGCCATTATCTCACTGTCATATACATTAGCTGAAATGTTTACCAAGATGTGAGAAAGATGGAGAAGCATGCCAGTGGAATACTGACTACTTGAAAGGCAATGGAAAAGCTGAACTGATTGCCAATAGCGTGTGTGTCTGGGAATATCCTGTTTGTTGTTGGTTTGGAGTTACATCTGGTGGTGTCAGGGGCTTCACCTGGTTCTGTGCTTGGGGGAGAGTGTGGTGCCAGAGATTAAAAAGGAGCTTCCCATGTGCTCCAATCCTTTGAGCATCTCCGTAGTCCTGAGAACACATTTTTGTTTTAAATGGTGCTGGGAACTTAATTTATTTTTATAAAGTTGTTCATGACTTATTACATTTAATATTCCAACATTAATCTCACCACCAGTGCACTTTCCCACCAGCATTATTTTCAATTTTCCTCAAGCCTTCCCCTTTAACAGTCCCTGAGTAATCTATTTTATATTGCTTGTATATTTTATATTGCTTTTATATTTGCTAGAGGCAGGCTGCGGGGTAGGGGAGGTGATGGGAGGGACACTGGAGTCACTGGTGCTGGGAAATGTACACTGGTAGAGGATGGGTATTAGAACACTATGACTGAAATCTAACTATGAACAACTTTGTAAAGATCTATCTCAGTGATTCAATAATAAAAATTTTTAAAAATTTATCAAAAATACTTCCTTAGAAGAAGATGTGTGAATATTGTTGTATCACCAAGGATCCTTTAGCCCTTGAAGATATTGCTAACGTGTTGTTAAGACTTGTGTGTTTATATTTTCTTAATTTAGATTGGTTGCCTTCTACTTTACATCCTGTCCAATATGGTGTGCTACTCCTAGTTCATTGCTGGTATAGGATTTGAGATGTTGTTTGTGGCTGTGCACTCCAGAAATTCAAAAATTTTGAATGAGTTAATACAATTGGAGTTAAATTTTTAACTGGATGGTGACTTTGAGTGTCCCAGGCGACTCAGCCTAGTGCAGAGTCTGGAAGCATCGCTGAAACTTGTTGATCTCTTTCAAGATTTATTTATTAGTATCTGGATCATGGTCAGTTAATGAACTTATTTGGCCCAGAGGCAATGGGCATGACTGTCAGGCTTCAGAAAGAAGAGGGAGATGGAGGGAGGTAGCCTATCGTCAACTCCATAACAGTCTGGAGATTTCAGTCACAAAACCCACATACCTAAGTTTTTTAACAGATCAGTTTCTGAATGAGGCTCCTCTTGAGCAGTGAAGTCCAGCAGTGAGCATGGTGGAGATTGTGGAGTGTGAAGGTTTTCAGCTGCTGGGGCTCTGTTTTGGCTCACCAGACCTCAGTGCTGGGAATCCGACCCAGGAATTTACACATGCAAGGCAAGTGCCCTATCGCTGAGTCACACCCCCAACTTACTGAGAGCAGTTGTAGTAAATTGAGAAATCTGGGCATGGCTGACAGTCATACCTTGAAGAATTCAATCTTTTTTTTTTTTATTGAATCACCATGAGAACAGTCACATAGCCTTTCAGTTCAAGTCTCAGTTGGTCATACAATGATCAAACACCCATCCCTTCACCAGTGCGCATTTTCCACCACCAAGAACCCCAGTATATCCCCCTCTCCCCCCCCCCGCCTGTGTGGCAGATTTCCACTTTACTCTCTCTCTCTATGTTGATCACAAAAAGAATTCAATCTTATGAAAAATTTTTACATTTTTCATATCAGGAATGGATCTAGCAAACAAATTCTATTAGATTCTGTTAGTTCATCTCTTTTCATACCAAAGCTGTTTACCATTTGAAGATTCCTACTGGTGTACAATGACATTTTATGTTAGAGACATTTGAAAATCTGAGAATGCCTTTCTTCCATAAACATCTTCAGCTGCAGGGCTGGAGAGGTGTCTCAAGACATAGAGTGCAGAGGAGCTCTGGAGCGATAGTACTATGGGGAGGGCATTTGTCTTGCACCTGGCTGACCTAGGTTTGATCCCCAGCATCTCATATGGTCCCCCAATGTCCACTAGACTTGATCCCTGAGCACAGAGCCAGGTATGGCCCCCCAGAAAAAATTTAAAAAAGAAAAGAGAAAGAAGTAGAGCACAGAGCTGGAGTGATAGCAGAGCAGGAAGGCCTTGCATATGGCCTACCTGGATTTGATCCCCAACACCCCATAGTGTCCTTCAATCACAGAACCAGGAGTTAGCCGTGCACACTACTGAAAGAGGCCCCCAAAACAAGCAAACAAAAAAAGGAAGAGCACATACCTAGCATGAGTGATGCCCTACATCTCATCCATGACATCACATGTCCCTCTGAGCACCACTGGGTCAGAGCACCTCCAGGTGTGCCCCCTACTTTTTGTTGTTTAAGTAAAAAAAAAATTGGGAGCTGGAGTGATGGTTCAGTGGATAGGGCATTTGCTTTGCATACAGATCCACGTGGGTTCAATCCCCAGCATCCCATATGATACCCCAAGCACCACCAGAGTGATCCCTGAGTGTAGAGGCAGGAGTAACCCCTGAGTATCACCAAGTATAGCCCCAATACCAACCAAACAAAAAGTTTTCTAAAAATCTCCAAAACCAATTTTGTATCTGTCTTAGCAAACATATCTCTGTCTTAGTCTCTTTACTTACGAAGACTGATTTGGAAGCTGGGGAGAGAACACAAATGACTGGGGGTATACACCTTGCATGTAGAGGCCCTGAGTTTGATCCTCATCCCCATGTGGCCTTGAGAGCTCCTCTGGGAATAGCCCTGGTGATCTCCAGTTCCTCTGGACCCTAGCAGCACTGACCTGCCAGACTTCACAACAAGGCCAAGTACTGTGTTATCCTGAGAACTGCCTCTCCTTACCCCATTAAAAGGAAAAGATGACTTTCATGATTTTTCTTAGCTAACTATAAAGTCCTTTGTTGGTGTGATTTGGGGGAGCGGGAGTACCCCCAGCAGTGTTTACAGAGTATGTAGAGACCACAGCAGTGCCAGCAATTGAATCCAAGCATGCAAAGCATCCAACCCTTTGAACCATCTCCTGTGCCTATAAACATTAGCTCCTTGACCTCAGTCTTCTACAGTTCAGTATCAGTGACTCAAGAGGATTTTACTGGAACCAGAACCACATTACTGCCTTATCTGCAACTGACCCTGGATTGATCCCCATTCCACATGGTCCCCCAACCCTACTGAGTGTCCTGGAAGTCCCCAGGCACTGCTGAGTGTGATTCTGGAGGCCGCTGAGCACTGCTGGGGTGAGTCAGATGATCTCTGGCACCAGGGGGCCAGTGCAGCATCCTCAGGTCCTAGAGTGACCCCGTGGATTCCTGAATACCACTTGGGAGGCCCTCATTCCCCCAAAATAAGTTTTTACTGAACAGCTACTATACATTGAATACTATACAAGGTGCTTTCTATATTAATTTTTTTACATTGTACAATATTTTATACGAGATATTTTCTAAAGGCCTATCTATACTTGTGTCTTTTATGAAAATCTTTTGTGTTTTCAGCTCAACCTGAAAAAGTAACAGGTAAAACAGCTGATTTGGATGATTACTCCAAAGATTCTTCAAACAAAAGGTAACTTACTTTTAAAGTTTTAAAAGTTCACCCTGTTCAGGAACCACAGAGATAGTATAGCAAGGCAGGGCACTAGCTTTGCATAGAGCCAACCTGGGTTCAATTTCTGGCACCCCTTAATGTTCCCTGAGGACAACAAGGAGTTATCCCTAAGCACAGAGCTAGGTAATTCCCTGATTACCACAGGGTGTGACCCACAAACAAACTATTCATCCTATTCAATGATTTTTCTAAACATTGAATTCTGTTGTCTGAATTCCAGTAGGCGAGAGAGTTTATTCAGGTTATTCTGATTAGCTTTTAGATTCTCCTACATACCTCTAGACCAGAGACACATTCAAATTGCTCCTCGAGTCAGCAGAACGTAATTTGGAGGACAGTCCTAACTGTTCTCCTGCTACACAAATTCTCTGTCAAACAGAGGAAAAGACTCAGACAAAGGAAAATGGAAGCAAGCAATGTTTGTGTAGTAGGGGCACAGATTCCCATAAGACACGGACGTAAAATCATGGCTGCTCTATTTTTGTGTAAACTTTTTACTTTTCTGATGAGACTCACAGTCTCTTCATGGGAAAAAAAAATTGTATGATTCTGGTGTACTTTCCATTTGTTTTGGAACAATCATGTACTGTGGCTGTAGCTTTATTGACAGTCTGAAATGATGGGCATGAGTGAGGGGCTCACTGGGGAGAGGAGCTGTGAGGCAAAGGATCTCAGCCAGTGGCCTTTCACCCGTTTCTGAATACTCCAGGGTTTCTGCTAGCATGGCGCAGTAATTTATGATCGGTTCTTTCTGCACATGGGTGGGGTTCACTTTGAAGTCTCCATTGGTATGTTTGAACCCTTCACGTTTTTGCCGTTCTTTCCCCTCTCAAACCTATTCCACTGGGGGTGGAGCGATAGCACAGCAGGTAGGGCATTTGCCTTGCATGGAGCCAACCTGCCGGTTGATTCCCAGTATCCCATATGGTCCCCCAAGCACCACCAGGAGTAATTCCTGAGTTCAGAGCCAGGAGTAACTCCTGTGCATTGCTTGGTGTGACCCAAAAAGAAAGAAAGAAAGAAAGAAGGAAAGAAAGAAAGAAAGAAAGAAAGAAAGGAAGGAAGGAAGGAAGGAAGGAAGGAAGGAAGGAAGAAAGAAAGAAAGAAAGAAAGAAAGAAAGAAAGAAAGAAAGAAAAAGAAAAACCCTGTTTCACTTCCCCGCAGCCAAGTATCTGCTAGGGGGTACTTCAACCCCAACCAGGAAAAGCCCGTAGGTGAGCCTAAACTCAGATTCTTAGCCAACTGTGGACAGAGAACTCTGTAACAAAAACTGTCTCCTCTCTCTGCTAACCACACCGTTTCATCCTGATCATGAGGCTGACCACCTTACATTTACCAGAAGCTGACCTGCAAAGCACTTTTCTCCCAGAATCTCAGCAAAGGGTGTGACAAAGAGTTTTCATCTTTAATGGTCTACTTGACCTGTGCATTCTACATACTCGACATTTAGGCAGAGTTCACAGACAAACATGCATTAATAAAATACATGTAAGTGGGCCAGAGAGATAGTACAGTGGGTAGAGTATTTGCCTTACACACAAACAACCTGGCTTCAATCCATGGCATCCCATATGGCCCGCCGAGTCCTATCAGAAGTAATTCCTAAGTGCAGAGCCAGGAGTAACTGCTGAGCATCACTGGATGTGGCCCCAAAATAAAATAAAATAAAATTTAAAACATTTAATTTAAAACATCCAAATAGTGCATATATAACATTTCTCCTCCCCAACTGAAAACCAAAGAGGCACCCATATTATTACCTTGAATTTCACTCCTGCTTTTTTCTATTTCCCCCCATTCACTCCCCCTTCCCCGCCCCCCCTTACACACACACACACACACACACACACACACACACACACAGCAAGGAGGATGCAATAGCCTTGCTAGGTTGAAAGGCCATGACAGAGGATTTGGGGTAACAGAAAGACTAACTTTGAGGAATGGGCAGGCAGAAGGGAATTAACAAGTTGAAATTGCTCCATAAACATTCTCATTGAACTTGTGTTCATTTTTCAGGAGGAAACTTCCTCCACAGATGATTGATCTCCGTACCATAGAAAATAAATCTATCAAAACTGATCAGCTATGTCAGTGTCCAGCAAGAGAGGAATATCCACTGGCCTTGTACTTGAATAATGAACCGCAGAAGGTCAGTGGCAAGATAGTCCGTGCAGACTCAGCAAAGTCAGACGCCTCCACGGTAAGCAGAGCATTTGCACTCTCTTGGCACTTCCTGTAGGACAGTTTTGACTCCTTCTTCTTACTTCTTGGATTCACACTTGGATTTTTAAAACCCCTTTTAGAAGTGCTGCCCTGAACTGAAGGGTTTCTTTGCCTCAGATGAAAGTGTAATATCTTTCTTCTGGAAAAAAGACTTGGTCAAGTTTTCTTGACTAAAAAAAGATATATAAGATTAAAATTGGTATTTGCAGGGGGCAGAGAGATAGTACAATGGGTTGGGAGCTTGTCCTGCATGTGACCTACCATCCCAGCACCCCATGTGATTCCAAGTCCACCAAGAATGATCCCTGAGCACCAAGCCAGGAGTAACCCTGAGCACCACTGGGTATAGACCCCCCAAAAGAAAACAAGACAAAATAAAAATGAAAAAAATGGTTTTGGGTAGTAGAACCCAGCCTAACTCAGGGCTTACTCCTGGCTCTGTGCTCAGGGCTCATTCCTGGTGATGCTCAGGGAACCATAGGCAGTGAGAGGGATTAAACTAAAGTTGGTCATATGCCAGGCAAGCACCCTACCCACTACACTATCTCTATAGCCCAAAATCATATTATTATTTTTTTATTTGAGGCATTGTGACCACTGTGACTTGCAATTCTACTAATGATAGTGTTGCATGCATTCCAGGTCCCAGCACTGCACTCTCCACCACAGAGTCTGCTTCCCTCCACTGTCTCGGGGTGCCCCCCATCCCTGCCAACATACTATCTCCCTGCCCTGGTAAACTCAGTTCTATAGACCAGTTTGCATTTGTTCCTTTGATACCCCCTCACTGTGTTTCTCTATATCCCACGTTTGAGAGAGATCATTTTAAACAGTCACTGAATCATGTTTTTCTAATCATCCATCTTAGCAATTGCAATCAGAAAACAGGTGATGGTCATAATTTTATAGGAAGGTTGGAGACGTTCTGGCTAGAAAGTCAACTTAGCTTGGGTTACCCATCTGCCTCATTAGCTAGATCCACAGAAACCCAGGCAATCATTAAAGATGATCATGTATGGGGTAGGGGGTGCGGTGGGGGGTGGGAGGGATACTGGGATCATCGGTGGTGGGTAATGGGCACTGGTGGAGGGATGAGTACTTGAGCATTGTATGACTGAAACACAAGCACAAAGGTTTGTAAGTCTGTAACTGTATCTCACAGTGATTCACTAATAAAAAATTTAAAAAAAATAAAATGGACCAAATTTGTTTAAAAAAAAATGATCATGTACAATTCTGCTCCTGGGCCAGTCACTGTCTCTAACACTCTACCACCATTTCCCTTCAAAACTACATGTGTTATGGACCAGAAAGATAGAACAGGGTGTGGGTGAGGCACTAGCCTTGCACATAGCAGACCCCCATTGGAGTCTCTGCACTGCATGTGGTCTCCTGAGGACTTCCAGAGTGATCCCTGGACACAGTAAGCCCTGTGCACTGCTGGGTATGGCCCTCAAAACAATAATGTCCCTTTCAGTGTGAGTACATAAACATAATTTCTTAAATGACTATAATTTATTATTTCAATAATGGTATTTTAAAAAGAAAAGCAGCAATCACTGACTTAGTGCGTATAAAATAAGCATTGGTAATATCCACATTTTTCCAACTTCATTGGAATGAATATTTTTGCTGTGAAATTAAAATGTGGGGAAAGAGTTTAGCGAATGGCTCATAGGTATGATGTTGCTACTAATCTGATAAAAATGCGTTCTTAAGTCAACCTATAACTTAGATCATTTTATTTCACAAGTATTTTTTTGAGAGTTTTCATGTGGTATTTTAATAAGTGTTGGGAACAACGATAAACATAGTCATGAATTGGGGAGATATTTTAAAAGACTGGAGCACATACTTTTTTATGCCGAAACCTAGGTTCAATCCCTGGCACTTTATTATCTCCTGAGCATAATAAGGGGAGCACATGAGTAGCAACCCTTCCCCCACCAGCAATGTGCCAGAAGTAGCCTTTAAAGTAGTACTGGGAGTGGCTCAAAAATTTAAAAAAATAATAAATATAATCATAATGATAATTTTTAAATGTGTATGTTTATGGTTTTTAATTAAATATGTTTATTTTTAATTAAGACACTGTGATTCACAGTGTTGTTTATAAGAGTTGTCGCAGGCATACAATGTTACCACCAGTGTCGCCAGGGTCTCTGCCATTTCCTAGACTGCCCCTTTGGCAGATGTGTCACTGTGTCACTGTCATCCCGTTCGTTGTTCATCGATTTACTCAAGCGGGTGCCAATAACATCTTCATTCGTCCTAACTCTGAGATTTTAGCAGCCTCCCCTTACTCTTCATTCCCAACGTATTGGAGGTTCTTTCAGGGTCAGGGCAGTGAGACCCATTACTGTTACTATTTTTGGCATATCGAATATTCCATGGGTAGCTTGCCAGGCTCTGCCAAGAGGACAGATGTATAGCATTTTATTTCATACTGATTGTTCCAACAAAACTTAAAGAAATGGCAAATGGAATTACCAGAAGGAAAATCAACAAAAATTATGTGTAGTGACTAATTGCTATATGACTTTAACCTATGTAAATATGGAAATTCAAATCATTCAATACAATATGGTATACTCCTAATTCTCATCTATGTAACCAAGTTTTTGAAAAAAAAAAAGATAACTGTCACCTAAAACATATTGCATTAGATTTTATTTTGTACTTGAATCTAGGATAATTCTTTTACTGCTTTACTAGGTTGTCCAGACTTGGTAATTTTAGCCTGTAACCAGTTATGGTATGATCATTGATTCTATCTATTTTTAGTATGCATATTATTTCTGAATATAGACAGCTAAGAGATGTCAGAATAATATCCTCTTTGCCAGTGATGGTAGCGTCACCATTTCACAAATGTAATTCTTTATATCTTACTTTATGTCAAAGAGGACTTTTACAAGACAAAAACGTTCAGAGTTGAACCCTAAAATCTCAATACATTATTAAGGAAGGGAGAATGTTGCAAATGAGTCAATCTTGTTTGTGTGTTTGAAAACCATGATTTTTCATGTTAAAATTTTTGTGTAGTTATTTTTGTTAAAATATTCACCATTTTGTTCTTGTGTTAAAAATACATAGAACTTTATTGCTTCATTAGACTGAGGATGACTGAATATACTTTTCTTTAATCCACAGGAGCAGCATGAGTCAAATCCCATAATTTTCCATGAGACGGAATTTGTACAAAATTTTATTTTGACCAAAAATAGGCATTTTTCCCAACCTCTTGGAAGCAGAAATATTTACCCATGCAAAAGAGCAAGTACCCCTTTAGGACGACTTCGTGAAATCTCTGAACCTTTAGCTAATGATCAACCTGCTACTCCTACTAACGAAATAACTAAACTTAGAGCCTGCAAACTCAAGAGAGACACAGGAATTTTGGAAGTGAATGGGAAGGTTGTGGATACACAAAGGCAGGCAACTAGTAAGCAAGCGTTAGAAAAAGTATCGCAGAAAAAAACCCACAATTTATCCCAAAGTCTTTCTGAATTAACCAAAAAATATATGGGTTCCCTGGATCAAACCATTCTTCCAGAAACAAAGACTAAAAGTGTCAAATATGAAAGCATGTTTTCTACAGAGAAACTAGTAAGCATGCACAAATACAGTGTAATGCCTATCACATATTGCTCCAAGCCAATAGATAGAACACTACAAGTACATTTTGTAAGCACTATAACACCACTTGATGAATTGGTAAGCTCGCAAAGTGATGATGAAACTAATACCTTATAAAATATTGCTTATTCAGTGTCATTCGGGTAAACAAGGAGCAAATAACAAATTCCAAAAGCATGCCAAAAAATTTGATTCAAGTAGTACTGTTTTAATGGATGATAAAAGAAAGAGAGGTAGAAATTGAGTTACAAATCAAGAGATCTGTTCAAGAAAAATCAGCATTTTTGGTAAATAGGAGGACAAACTTAAGAAATAATTATCAGCAAGAGGAACTAGTTATGAATTTTTATAGTCTCAGCAGTAATCCTGCTTTAAATGTGATTCAGGATTATCAGGATAACATTGACTAAACTCTGGAAATGTGTTCTTGTATGTCACATCACACCTGTAATCTTGCGCTATAATTAAATAGCAAACAAGACAAATGAATCATTAACCTAATGAATTTAGAATTATGTATCAGCATTTTGAATAACCACTGGAAACTAGCATTACATTTTCAACTCATGCAATTAAAATGGCTTTGCAAAATTAAAAGAAAAAAAAACACCCAACAATTTGCTAGCGGATGTTGAAACTTCATTACTATACACAATACTCTTTCAAAGTATGTCTTTGGTGTCTTAGAAAATTTAAAAGGATGACCTATACTTAACAAGCTAGATAACTTTGATCATACATCCTAGAGTACTGAACATTCTACATATATATTACATTATTTATTTACTGGCTTCTCATTAACTTCTCATTGACCCAAGCAGTAGAAAAGCAAAACTCCACTTAGAAACAAGATGCATTTCAAAATTTCATTTATAATTCATTCATCTTTTAAATATGATTGAATTATAAATGTGAACTTTTAAAATATGAGCTATTAGAACTTGAGGGGGAAGAAGACTATTTAGACTCTCTGAGGAGTTCCCAGGGTGAAGCTGTAGACTTGGGGGTCCCTATTCCCCTTCAGAAGGGAGCTTTTCCTTCCTTCGTGGCCTCGATGCTAAGCTGTGTGGGCTCCCCTTTGTGAGCAGGTTCAGGCCTTGGTTCCCAGATTGAAGGACAAGGAGAGAACATGGAAATGAGAAGAAAGGAAGGTTCTAACTGAGGCTGTAAGGAAGAACTAGAAAGCTCTTTTCTCTAAAAGATCTTCCTGATAGGGAGCCAGGGAAGAGGGTTCAGGCATGCAGGGGTCGTACAAGGCATCCTGGTTTCGAGCTTTCTTCTGGCTACTGACATGAAAGAGAAACAGCAGGAGCAGCTCAAACTGACGGATGAAATCTTCCTTCCCTTTTCCCAACAAATAGGTATTGGGCCTTACTGGGGTCAGAGTGGACGAATGTCCTAAGCCACTCCTCGGGATACTTAGCCAATCTGGCAGGATGTTCTGGTGCTAGGATAACAATTCATTATTATTATTATTATTATTACTGTTGTTGTTGTTGTTATTCAGTGCTAGGATAATAATACGTTGTTATTGTTGCTACTTCTTGTTGTTATTCAGTGCTAAGATAATAATATCTTATTAGGGTCTGGAGTGCATGTGCTTCATTCACTGCCACCCAAGGTGGATCCCCAACACCATGTGGCCCCCAGCCACTGACTCTAGCACTGAAAACCCAATCAGGCTAGTATATCCAATAGTAGTTCCCTCTCCCCCAGGCCCACTAAGCACAGCTTCAAAAGCAAAACAATTTTGCTTAAGAAGGAAAAACAAGGGGGTATGGTTCTGCCAGCAGGTCAATCTGTACCTGTGAAGCCAGTGCATCAGCAGCCTGATGATGCCTTCAGATTTCCAGATACCCCAAAATTGCTGCTGTGCCTTTGGCCAGACCACAAAAACTTGGGGCAAAGTTTACCTAGAAAGTAAACGCCCAAAAGTTAGGTATGTGGGAAACACACCCCCAAACCACCTCCGGCTCAGCTATATAATTGGAGGCATGGCCTCTCTTGTTCCTGATTGAACTGCTTAATGGCCATGATCCCAGAGACTCAGAAAAAAATCTCAAAACCCAGCGGCTTTTGGCAGAAATGCGTCCGGTCCCTGCAGTAGGTTACTGGTGCTGGGCCAACCGAGGTGGAAATAGGTTTCGTGCCTTGGCCTGTTCCCTCTGGCGGCCCGGTGACTGCCATCCTCCAGAGGCCACTGGACAGTCAGGTTTGGGCCCGCAGTGATGAGACACGCAGGGTCTCACGGGATGGGGGTGGAGCTGGTCATGTCCTCCCCGCCCCAACAAGACCTCAAGTCATCGCCCATGAATGGCCTCTCTGGCTCCTAATCAAGCTGCTTAATGGCCATGATCCCAAAGGCTCAGAAACAAATCTCGAAACCCAGTGGCTTTTGGCAGAAATGTGTCTGGACCCCGCAGTAGGTTACTGTCGGCAGGCCACCCCAGGGGGGGAAGGGTGCTGTCCCTCCGCCTGCTCCCTCATGGTGGCTCAATGGCCGCTATCTTCCAGAGGCCATTGGACAGTCAGGCTTGGGCCCTCAGTGACGAGACATGTTGGGCTTCACAGGATGGGGGTGGAGCCGGTCCTTTCCTCCCCACCCCAACAAGACCCTAAGTCATCGCCCACAAACGGCCTTTCTGGCTCCTGATAAAGCTGCTTAACAGCTATGATCCCAGAGACTCAGGAGCAAATCTTGGAACCCAGCAGGTTTTGGCAAAAATCCCTCCAGATTTATGTGTTAAAATTTCGGAATTTCAAAATCGCACAGCCACTACTGCAGCCATGCAACATCATATGTTATTCATAACCAGCAATAGAAAACAAATTGTCTACGGTTGCCTTTTCAGCAGATCTGAGTGTTGGGGTAAAATCTCAAATAATAATGGTGGGTCTGGTGTCAAAATATTGAATGTGATCAAAGTAGAGAGAGAGTAATGTGGAAATCATCTGCCCCACAGGTGTGGGATGGGGGTATACTGGGGTTGTTGGGGGTGGAGAATGGGCACTGGTGAAGGTACAGGTGTTTTATTGTATGACCGAGTCTTAGACCGAAAATCTTTGTAACTGCTCTCACGGTGATTCAATAAATAAAATTACAAAAAATGAAAAAAAAAAGTAAGGTGGAGTTCATGCACAATTCAATCAGCCTAATCAGTGGCTGAAAAAATAGCAGTACTCCTACATAAAAAAAAAAAAATAAGAAGGAAAAACAAAAACAAAAAAAAGCACAACAAAATTTCTTAAAACCCTAATATCTTCTCATAGTCATTTTAGAATTAAATAGAAGAAGGCAGGGGGATAGTGATAAGGGTAAAGTGCACAGGCCTTCCTTTTAGGAGACCTTAGGGTTGGGTCCTGGGCACATTTGCTCCCCATCTTTGCATGGAGTTGTTCAGGGCTGGATTCCCGGCCACACAAGGTCTGAGCAGAAAATTGGGAGTAGCCCCAAGCACAGTTCAATCTGACACTCCCCACAAAGACAAAAACAAAATTCCCTTTCTCCTCTCACCTTTACTCTTGCTCCTAAAGTAAGTCAAGCTTCTTTAAAGATATCCCCCAGAGTTTCTCATTCCAGTCTTTTCTCATTTAATTGTCAAAACTACAGGATTCAGATTTGAGACTCAGAGAGACCCGACCTTCAAGTTTCTATCTTGGATACTTTGGGAATTTTCTGGCAGAGTTCTTCTGCAGGAAGGTACTAAGTTAATCATAACAATCCGCTGAGGATTGTCCTCTAAACTCAGGGATAGCTGGAAGCTGTCACTTCTCACGCACTTTTGTCTCTCTCCCAAGCCACACACGCTGAGGGCTATTGGAGCCCCAGGAGCTGGGTTAGTCTGGGTTTCTTTTTTTGTTTGTTTTGTTTTGTGTTTTGTATTTTGGGGTCACACCCAGCGATGCCCAGGGGTTACTCCTGGCTTGCATTCAGGAATTACTCCTGGCAGTGCTCAGGGGAATATATGGGATTCTGGGGATTGAACTCAAGTTGGCCATATGCAAGGCAAATGCCCTCCCCGCTAAACTATCACTCCAGCCCTAGTCTGGGTTTCTACTTTTTTTAAAAATTTTTATTAGTGAAACACCATGAGGTACAGTTGTAGACTTACAAATTTTTGTGCTTGGGTTTCAGTTATACAATGATTGAGTACCCATCCCTCCACCAGTGCCCATTTTCCACCACCACGGGTCCCAGTATCCCTCCCACTCCCATCTCCCCCTGCCTCTGTGGCAGAGCATTCCCTTTTGTTCTCTCTCTCTCTTTGGATGTTGTGGTTTGCAAAAGAGGCATTGAGTGGCAATCACATTTGGTCTATAGTCTACTTTCAGCATGCTTCTCCCAGACATAGACAAATGGACTACCTTAAACTAAGAAGCTTCTGCACCTCAAAAGAAACAGTGACCAAAATACAAAGACAGTCTACAGAATGGAAAAGGATATTCGCCAAATACACATCCAACTAGGGGTTGATATCAAGGATATATAAAGTACTGATTGGGTTTCTATTTTGATGCTGAGAAGGCTCTGGAGATCCACCTCAGAGTCACAACTCAGTGAACAGACTGTGCTGTGTTACAGGGACTACCTGGCCTGTTGGGATTTCTGAATGTCCCCCGGGAGCATGGACTGTGGCCCTGATGAACTGTTCTGGTCTCTTAGGGCCCCAGGAGGGCAAAGAGAAACACCACTAAGCCTGGGAGAAAATGAAAAATTCTAAAATTTTCCAGCAGGCCCCAGCAGGAGTGGCGGGCACATGCTCCTTTAGCCACAGTGAGCTAAATAATCACCTTTCTCCCCTAACAGGACCATAGCAACAGATACTGCCATCAGCCTGCCCCAGCTCCCTTCAGCCGAGCAGGAAAAACAAAACCTGCTTCACTAGCCCGGCAGGATGGAACAGGACCCTAGGGAGAACTCATTAGCCATCTGATAATGACTAAGAATCCAGGAGAATCACCAGAGATTTCACCCAGAGTGGGAGGACTAAGTACTCAGAATCATTTAGCAGGGGGAGCAGTGAAGAAACTAGAGTGGAAAAAAAAACCTATTTTCTATTTATTCACCCCACCAAATC